TATGGGCTCAAGCAGGCTGTCAATGCTGGCATGAGAAGCTCCATGAGGTGCTCACCAAGCTTGGCTTTGAGCGACTCAGCTGCGAGCACAGTGTCTGGGTCTATCTGCGCGATGGAGTGCGTCTCATCATCCCTGTCTTTGTCGACGACATCACCATTGCTGGCAAATCCAAGTCAGCCATCCAGCGCGTCAAGGACGACCTCCAGAAGCACTTCAAACTGCGAGATCTGGGCCCCACTTCCTGGCTGCTTGGTGTCAAGATTGAGCGCGACCGCTCCAAGCGTTCCCTGTCGATTTCGCAGCGCCAGTATGCCCTGGACATCCTAGAGCGTTATGGGTTTGCAAACTGCGACCCTGTGGGCACTCCTATGGATCCTGGCCTTCGTCTCAGCGCAGATATGGCCCCATCTTCGCCCTCTGACATTCGTGAGATGCAGAGCATTCCCTACCACCAAGCGGTGGGTTCCCTCTTCTACCTGGCTGTGGCAACTCGCCCAGACATAGCTCGCACTGTGGGCAACCTAGCACGCTTTTCGCAGAACCCTGGCATCACCCACTGGAAGGCAGTCAAGCACCTGTTTCGCTATATCAAGGGCACCCTCGACTACAAGCTCACCTACTCCCCTTCGTGGGACTCAGAGCTCTTCACCTCCTACACGGATGCGGACCATGCAGGCTGCCCAGACACTGGTCGCTCTACCTCTGGCTATGTGATCAAGATGGGCACTGGAGCGATCTCCTGGTCGAGTCGCCTTCAATCCCTGGTCGCTCTCTCCACCACAGAGGCAGAATTCGTTGCAGCGGTCTCAGCTGGCCAGGAGGTGCTCTGGTTGCGAAACCTGCTCTCTGAGTTTGGGTATGACATTTCCTCTGCCTCTAGGCTTCGCATCGACAACCTCTCTGCGCTCTCTGTGGCCAAGAACTCAGAGCATCATGGGCGGATGAAGCACTTGGATCTGCGCTTCTACTGGCTCAGAGATGAGGTGGCCAAAGGTCGGCTTGAGATTGTGCATCTGCACACATCTGACATGCCAGCAGACATCCTGACCAAGTCGCTGCCCAAGCCCAAGGTGCTTGAGATGGTGAAGATGCTTGGATTGGGGACTTGATGGATTAGGGGGGAGTGTTGGAGTCGGTGCTGTAGCGCCGTCGATTTTAATCGCACCAAGTCCCGCATCGCGCCATACATAGTTCGCGCTGTCCGCTATCTACGGTAATTTTCGTATAGTCACAACTCTCGTTTCCATACAGATACCGCATTTCTTTCACTAGTAGTCTCCATTTCTGTAGATCTGACTGCACTCTAGAATAGTTCCCACGCGCTCTGTGCGCCGTCATCTGCGCCTGAGTCGACTCTGTGGTCCTCAAGACTTACAGAGCTCGACTTAGGCCATTGTGACCCCTCTGAGGCCCACTGCAGCCAACAATGACAGGCCTTCACACCAAGGCTGACACTGCTGAGAACCTCGCTCTCAAAGCTGTGGAAGAGAACAAACAGCTGAAGGCGGAACTGGTCACTGTCAATGCGGATCTGGAGGTTCTTAACCAGAACAACATGGAGCTCGTCAAACAGTACAAGGAACTCGCGGCCAAGTTTACACATTTGGAGCAAGGCCTGTCAACCCGTACCACGCTTGGTATCAGTACCGCCCTAGCCCCTGTCGTATCACAGGCCTCACGTATCAAGGGATCAGAACCACTCAAGTACGAGGGTAAAAAAGGCTCAGACATCACTCTAAAACAATGGTTACAAGAGATGAGCCTTTGGTTCCGTGTTCAGAATATCACCACGGACAACGACAAGATTAACCTGGCCCTCATGTACTTGGAAGGTGGTGCACACGACTATGTCAAGGACTACGTCGAGACAGCATCAAACGGCGGAACCCTTGGATCCTGGACCGACTTCGTCAACCGACTCAAGGCAGGCTACCGTCAACTGGCCTCCGAGAAGACCGCGCAAACATCCCTCGAGGGGTGGTGCTCAAAAACTCACTCCACGGTCATTCAGTTTGCCGAGAACTTCTGCTGCTACACCTCGAAGTCTGGTTACGCTGATGTAGAACTCATCTGGCGCATCAACAACTAGGTCGGCAAGAACTCGCAGATCCTTACAGTCATAACGGCAATGCAGCAAGTCAACCTGATGCTGATTCCGACGAAATGGGAACACTACCTGGACTGGGTACCCAAGCTGCAAATTGGAACTCGAGGGCAGCAACACACGACTAGTCGCCCCCCACGGAACCCCAATGCCATGGATGTCGATGCAATGCGGAAACCGGAGAAATTGTCTGAGGAACAGCTTGAATGGCTCAACAAGAAGCTCTGTTTCCGCTGCGGCAAGCACAAGTTTACGACTGGCCAGAAGTGTCGCAACCCTCAGTACACTGGTTACTACGAGCTCCCGGACAGGAAGAAGCAACCGGCCGCTCCGACCAAGGTATGCACGATGAACACGGCCAATGAAGACAAGTGGGAGTACATTTGCAGAGCCCTCAAGGAGTTTGAAACCGCCAGGGGAAAAGGCAGAGGCAAGGCACCAGAAACTGAGACCACTGCACGCATCGTCGAGGTCAAGGAATCTGAGGAGGATTTTCTGGAACGGGTACTTTGAAGACTGACCAAAGTATCCGACTCTGTAATCATAGCGTAGACCTAGAGGACACTTTTGTTCCGCGTTGGAATGTTATCTATCTCGCATCAGCACGTTGCCCGCGAAATTCATTCGATCTCAAAGTTTCCCTCACTCAAGGTACGCATGAAGTTCAGTCAGAAGCCCTCCTCGATTCAGAAGCCTACTCTTGCTTTATCCACCACCGGTTTGTTCAAGAACACGGACTCACCCTACGATGCCTCTCTCGTGGAGTGCGAGTTTTCAATGCAGATGCCACTGAGAATAAGAAAGGGTTGATCACCCACTACGTCCGTTGCCTACTCCGTATCGGAGACCACCTCGCTTGGCAGTCGTTCCTTGTCACAGACATTGGGCGGCAAGACATCATTATTGGCGTGGCGTTTCTGCACGAACACAACCCTGAACTCGATTGGAATGCAGGAAACATTGAGTTCACATGCTGTCCCTCAATATGCACCCGGCACACAGTGCAGGACGAAGAATTACGGAGCTTGCAACTTCCTCAAGTGGAAGATGTTGTACAAGATCAGTACGGTGACCTCAGCCCTGAATCCTGAGAAAGCACTGATCAGTTTATTCACTGAATGAACTTCTCAGATGACCCGAGTGCGCGTCAGATGCGAGCTGGGTTAGAAGAGAAAAAGGACACCAACCCTGCAACGAAAGGTGAATAGGACCGCGAATACTGGTCAAACCATGTACCTGAACAGTACCGGCAGTATGGCGATGTCTTATCCAAGAAAGCCTCGGAAAGAATGCCAACACGGAAGCCATATGATCATCAAATTGTACAAGCTCAACCTCGATGAATGGAACTCGCTTGAAGCTTAGATCACAGAACAAGAAGACAAAGGCTATATCCGCACGTCCAAGTGATAAACTCGGGGCTGTGAAGACAAAGATTAGATCCGACTAGAGTCGAAGCAAGATCTTCAGTCAGTAAGGAAAGACTGTATTGCAGTAACGAACTGTACCTAGAGTCGAAGCAAGACTACAAAGGTTAAGTAAGTAACTACAAGTTAGAGGTAAAGGTAATGAAGTAGTCACTCTTCAGTCAGTAAGGAAAGACTGAAGAGGGAGGACGCAATCTGAAGTCCTTATATACTACAGAGAAGTGTCCATGACTAATCAAAGAGTGG